GTGTGTGGTGTAGCTCTGTACGCTGTAAGGTAAGTACGCAGTTCCTTCAGCCAGTCTTTACCCTCGGCTTGTGCTATTTGCATCCGCTTCAACATTGACCTGTTTTGTCTTTCTATCTCTCCATTGGCCTGGGGCCACAACGGGGTTATCCTGCGGTGTTTTATACCATTGCTCTCCAAGTACTCGGCGAAGATCTTTGAGACAAACTGGTGACCATTATCACTCGCTATGGACAAGGGAAGTCCATGCCTTGAAAACATTTCATCTAGACTTTCAACGACCTTGTCTGCAGTTGTTGTCTTAGTTACACCGGTTGGCACATTTCGATCGCGGACTTACCTCCCTTGTCTATTTTTATTTACGAGGGGGGAAAAATATAAAAATGGCTTTAAAAATCAATCTTTATTCATAAAACTGTTTATACTAATTAAAGAAAAAAGAAAAGAAAGAGAAAGTCTTGAAAAGTCTCAAGAAATGAAGTMGAAAAAATTTACGGCTTCATGAGGGCTCGAACCGCGAGCCACGCGATTAATACTTTGACACCGCAGTGAAAGCAACACAACTGTTGAGCCTGGGCCCCCTGTGTTGTTATCATTCGCTCTAGAAAGAAGGGAAGGTATCTAGGTCAACCCCACCAGAAAYTAATTTCTAGCTCCTCCGAAAATGTGAATCACGCCAATATTCCCTCGGATTATCTTTGCCAGAGAAACTCTCCATTCACACATGCAATTTCGTTTCGAAACTTCAACGCTATCACAACGAAAACCCGCTGTATTTCGACGATATCGCCGAAGGTCGGGCTCTTTCTCAATGTATACAACACTCATTATACGCTCTATATACCTCAATATAACCTAACCCTAACTATCCCTTACCCTAAACCTAACCCTTTGGGAACCCTGTGTTGTATACATGAAGGAAGGTCGAGCCTTGATAAGTTGATACGATCAGGGTTGGACATTTCAAACCATACATTTCAAACCATACTGTCCCCTCCCCCRCTTAGTAATAATAATAACTTTTTTTCAAAGCAAAGATCCAGGTTCTCTCCCTTATCGTTAGTTAGTTTATAGCCATAGTTTTTAGAAAAACAAGTTTTTTTTCTAAGATAGTCTAACGCATAARATTAAAAGTATATAATAATAATATGGTTAGTAATAGCAGTAGGGCTTGTTGACATATTCTTGACAGAAATGTAACAGAATTTAACCTTGTAACTTCGTAACTTTGTAACGCTATTTCCAGGGACCCCCTGTTTACAGCCGAGTTCGTAATGTGATATTTCGTTTAGAGATCGCACAGTCGAGTTCGTAATGTGATATGCGTTCGGGACGCATAGGTCAGGCCGAAGACAAAGGTCTCACATAGAAAAAAAACAACAAAACTATACGCGCTGCATTTTCTGACTCGTGACCCGGCCTAGGGCCGGGTCACGAGTAATGAATAGTTTTGTCAATGATATTTTCCCATTTACTGTGCAATTTTTCGCAGTCTTCTCTGTTTATGTTTTGTATTTAAACTGGTTTTTAAACTTATTGTCCATAAACAATGTACCAATGTCTTTAGAAAATGATCATTCGAAAAAGCAGGAAAAATTGGTATTTATGTAATTATAAGTCACGATAAAAGTCCCATGTCAAAACAAAAATGTATAAGGTCTTGATATGCCAAGCTCGTTGCTTCTGAATGTGACGGATTCATCTGACCACCTCAACGTGATCGAAAACCACGCAGAATCCCAAGCAAACAACTTTTACACGTATTTTTAATAACTGAATTGTAAGGATGTATTTACAAGTATATTGCAAATTATGGTTCAGGAAAGGTAGAAAACACAAAATGAACAATTTAACTTTTATTTGCGAATATTTATCCCATACTTATAAAAGTCTCAAAATCAGTCATTGTATACTAAGTTTAATTTAAGTAGAGATGTAGAAAAAAAACAAGCACCCTGCATGTGCAGTAATATTAAATCGCAGCAAAATAGTGTAAGTACTCTCAAGGTACCCTGTGAGCAGAGGATTTTGGAAACATCCTATGCAGTCAGGGTATCTCAAGGCAAAATGAGACTGTTTGGGTAATGTCGACATGCAATGAAATAATGTACATTGATTAATRACAAAAACTGCATGCCTTGCAATTGGTGGACCTAGAAAACGCAATGTAAATGTTGGAAATAAGTTATACTATACTGTCTAGGATATATAACCAAAAGAASCTATTATTAATWTYAAACATTCTGAAGATGCATGGCAATAATATAAGGAAGTTGATTTACATAATAATAATGTCATGGTATGGTTTTCAGTAAGCAAAAATACTGGTATATAAGTAAAGCAAAATGTATTAACTTACGATGATGTACTCTAGGCCGTCAGGTTTCTGACAGGGATTGATCGCGATGTTTTTGCTCTTTCTTTTGCTTGCCATCAAGTACATGCATGTACGTCATTTTGTGGGGAACAAAAAGACTTGCTGACAAGAGTTAGAGACACCCTTAACATTCTCTGAGTAGCCTGACTTTACGCTCATAGAGCGTCTAGTTTAATTTTCTTTAGCAAATGACAACAACAAAAAAATAAACATGCAAAAGTWTATCTGCCAAATGGGCAAAAAATTATACCCTATCCCATACTTGGAGCTCCGAYCCTATCGATAAGCACATACCCGTATAGCAAATATAGGGGAGTATCACCCAATTTTTCTAATAAAGTAATAAGGTCTACGTTATATCGTTATGCTAAACAAATCTGAATTGATTCTAAGGCTTTCTCATACTTTATAACTTTAAAAAGTGTGACATTTTTTCTTGACAARACGACTGTGCGATTATCAGMATTGTCTTGAAGATCACTGAATTTAAATCCGTTCACGTTAGGTTACACTACGGCCCATGTCTTCATTACTCCCCGGAYAATGTTTTCAATTCTTTCGATAACCACTCTTTTTCCTGTTCAAGCAGAATTGCTCTTCTCTCGTTGAGTTTTAATCTGTTTTCAAGTACTTGAAGAATAGGACCACAAATAATATCGGTCAGCTGACAAAGTGCTTTCGTGAATACTACAAAAGACAATAAAAGTATTCATTGACGYCATTTCTTTCGGAAACGATTACCCGCACTTATAATTCGAAAAATGTATTCATTAACATACTGTTAATATTTATCATGTGTTCTCTATGTGTTCTTAGGCAATTTAGTTTGCAATAATAGAATACCCAGTATTTACTCGAATAGACGCCGCCTTCAAATAGACGCAGGACATTGATGTTGAAATAGAAGTTTAACTCAGGTTAAAATCATAAATTGCCAATAGAAAAAAATGAACACGACATTTATATATTCAGATTCGTTACTGTTTGTTAGTAAAAAGATACAATATATAGTACGGTATGTAGTACTGAATAAAGTGTTTCTTTAATAAACGCCGCCCCCGAATAGACGCCCTCCTCGAATAAACGCCGCATCTGGATCGTGAATCAAGCTGCCAATGGCAACATAACTCGAAGATTGTAWAGACGATGAATCAAATTATAATTACTTAACAATTGGAATTTTAATRAACGATTTATGAATAATTGTTTTCGTTAAAATCTTATTATTTTAACYTCGGTTATGGATAAGTTGCCTCCGTAAGCAGACGTCCCAACCGGCCGATTCTCCTGCTCACGTAGGCTAGCGAACGTCGGCGAAATAAATTCCAGTCTTAGCCATAGCTGTATACAATTTGCCATCGTAGCTCAGTCGATAAAACGTGGTCGTTACGTGCAGACGGCCCCGGTTCGAGTTCCAAAATATAATGGCTTTTTTATTTCTTTTTTTATTATTAATTATTTTTCCCTGCAATTCTTTTAAGAATGCTTACACCGTAACGGTGAATAAAATGAAAGTTGGTTCGATTGAATCCCGACCAACTGTGCGTCACCATTGTAATACGAGTGTTTGCCAGTTTCCGTAGTGGTTCTAAATATAGTAAGCTTATTCTCGATATCTAACCACACAATAAACTACATATCAAATATTACAATGTAATAGTACGTTAGCGAGGGAATACATTTTTTGAATTGTAGACGAACATGGATAAATAAAACATACGTAAAATGATTTTCGAAACGAATGAGTCGGATCGGCGAGTCTTCCTCATGCTTCCTTTTGTGACTGATCAATACAACGAATCAAATTATAATCATACACAAAATAGTAAATTTCAGCACTTTGATAGCTTATCTGAAGTTCCAAAGGGCATATTCACAACCATTTGCTTGAAATCTTGTTTTCTACGTAGTTGGTAAAATTCGGCCGAGACGTTTATCAACAACAATTTAGGGTCGAGAAGCTTCATGTAAGCTTACGTTTCCCTGGATCCGTTTCCCTGACTMTTTCTAACTGTCGACACACACTCGAAGCGGAAACCGTTTTAAAAACTTCTTTCAATGTGTACATTTTACGCAAATGAATCTTAAACGACATTTCGCTCCTTAGCGACCCTCCTTACCAGGTTTAATCGATTATGACACAGGAAACCCATTGATTGATCGGGTGTCGCATAAAACCTAGTAAAATAGTCAGGACGTAATGTCTAATGCACATGGTCTAGTGGTAGTGTCTTTGCCGTTGACGCGAGAGGTCCGGAGTTCGAGCCTCACCGAGGRCATGACTTTCTTTCTCTTCGAKAAAAAAAAAAGAAARGAAAAAGAAAAGAAACARGTAGACCGCGAAGATGAATAATTAAAAATTAAWAAGTCAAAAAAAAAAAAAGAATTTACTAAGGCAATAACGCAGTTTACAGGAAAGTGAGTGAGTGAGTGACTTAGTGAGTGACAGATCGGTCCCCTACAATAACTCTTCGRTTGCTAACGCAATCTCCGAGTTAAAAATGAAATTAATGCCGCGGCGTCTATTCGTTTAAATACGGTACCCCTCGCACTTCCGCGGTGCCGTGATCATCGACATGACTTCTGGTTAAAATCACTCCCTTAGTCTTTTGACAACGACAAATCTATAATTAAGTACTGCTACCGCCGTCCACGGTGCCGTGGTCATCTACAAAACTTATTTCCAGTTACTTCTGCCTTGTTTTCAGCTACTACTAGCTGTATTAGAAATCGAATTAATTACTCGGACTGGAACTAATTGCGCGGACTTGAAATCCCGTCCAGTTCTCATTGTCGAACTTACCTGCTCCATTGTGTATACAAGTTAYCAAATCCTTTGACCTTTAAAGATATAAAGGGAAAACAATAATATAGAATGTAAGTCATTCAAGTACAACATTGTACACTGCAARTCAGTCAGTACATAGAGGAGACGTGATGGCCCAGTGATTTGGTCATTGGACTTCGGATCGACAGGCCTGGGTTCGATTCCCAGACGGGGAGATCACGTTGTGTTCTTGGGGAGGACACTTAACTCTCTCAGTGCCTCGTCTTCTCGGAAAAGGACGTAAAGCCGGAGGTACCGTYTCTCTACACTTCTCATTAGCGGCAGAGAGACGTTAAGAACCCACACAACTATTCRACTAAGAGTAGGGCACGGACTTCCCGGTGGTGTGGACAGRGCTCATCACACCAGCATTGAGGTCGACTTCATGCTAATATACAGCTAGTAACCCTATGAACAGTGCTGAGTGCGGGAGCTATGTAGATGTWGATAGKGGGTATTAAGCGAACGACTGAGATATCAATTGAACACRAGAAGATAAAATTAGTATCTCCAAGCGGTCATGTAATGTTCTAAAGCAATCGCGCTTGCTTATCTWGGCATTTTTAACCTACTGACCAGCTCACAGATGCACCAGAACGAAGGATCAGGGAAGGGAAAACAGACCCATCTATAGTCAAGGGAGGGCATGTGACTCCTTCGTTCCTTACTGATGACTAGATAGAATCCCAATCACAGGGTTCGTACAAATTTATTCATATAAAATTCAAGGACTTTTCAAGGACTTTTTAAGGATTAATTTTCAATTTYCAAGGACACCAATTACAATGAGAAAGATACAGTTAATAAACTTACTAGTCCGGTGTCTTACCAAACAGAACAATACAAATATTGCAGTTAACTTTGTATAAGAATTTTCTCTTTTGGAGCATATTTTTCTCAATCTCTATTTATTTCTTTGACCCCGTATTGCACAATAGTACAACAGACATTGCCAAAAKGATTGAAATATTATCAATTTSCTTCAAAGMTTGGCAAAATTAATCTCTAAAACATTACTTCACAACAACCAAGACTGATTCAAGGACTAAATTATCATTTTCAAGGACCTTTCCTCCAAATTCAAGCACTTTACAAGGAAAATTTTCATTTAAGAGCGGTTGCCTGTAAAAATCGGACATTTCGCAAAAATCGCGGCAAAGCTCAAAAAATAGATTTTGCTCATATTTTGCCCATTGATAAGCCTGAATGTAAGAATAAACGCTGTGTAGTTAGTTTGATGAAATACGATCTAGTTTTCGAGAAAAGCGACAATATTTATCAACGACTGAAATTCGTGTATTTTGCGGTAGGAATTTCTTTCAACTTTGAAAGCTCACAAAATCGAGACAAAAATACCTAGTGATTTCACTCNTATTCAATCAATCAGGGTTTTTACAGTAATACAAATAAGAATATATTTACTTCTTCGAAAGAAGGTTACATTTAAACATAAGTTACTTCGTTTTCAACCTTTAATTTAAACAACAGTGTTGCAATTATTTTTTCGCTTGCTTCAAGTTGATAATTTTTTATTGACAATTTTAAATTGTGTACATAACGAAAGAAAAGAAAAAATGTGTATTTTAGTTCAACATAAGAATATCTTTTCAAGATGCAGAAAACAACACCCTCAAGTTCATGGTTCTTGCAAAGATATACCTAATTGTGCAAAGTATTATTTGCATGCATTTCATGTTTACAAGTTAATAAAGCCAAATTTAAACTACAAACCAGATAGAAAATTAATATTTTTTAAACAAGTTTAGTTGACATAGTCTTCTAATTGTTCTCAATTGCATTGAGTGAAGTAGAATGTTCTGTGAAACACAAGGACCACAGATATCTCGAACAAAGACCACCGCTTCTTCCTCCATAATTCTAAATGCGAAAGTCCCGCTACAGAAAGTCACGCATCACTTACTAAACACGTGTGTCTGGTTACCAAGCGGTCGAGTGAATGACGGTCGAGTGAAAGTTTAGCGTTCAAAAAAAAATTCCAGAGTTCGCACTCATTTGAAATCAGGTGTAAGAGCGGTTGCCTGTAAAAATCGGACATTTCGCAAAAATCGCGGCAAAGCTCAAAAAATAGATTTTGCTCATATTTTGCCCATTGATAAGCCTGAATGTAAGAATAAACGCTGTGTAGTTAGTTTGATGAAATACGATCTAGTTTTCGAGAAAAGCGACAATATTTATCAACGACTGAAATTCGTGTATTTTGCGGTAGGAATTTCTTTCAACTTTGAAAGCTCACAAAATCGAGACAAAAATACCTAGTGATTTCACTCATAAGTTTATCAATCTATATATATAATTCTTGACAAGTTTCAGCTCTTTTAAACACAAATTGATTTAGTAACGAATTTTATTCTTGACAGGCATAAAACGACTGCTCAAAAGTACTCCTTGTTAAATTAAAATTTTTGTTATGTGCGACGAATTATTTTTTCAAGAAAAACCAATCAGTTTAATCTTGAATGAATGGAGATTTCGAAACATGAAAATATATTTTGGAGAAATTATTTAGTGTGAAGTACTTAGGTCCGAAAGATACATGAAAACAACGAATTCTAGACGTTGGCGAGATCAATCGATTTACATATCACGCATCATTTAGCTTGCTGAATTGTTTTTTGTTTTTTTTCACTATCATTTTGTACAAAATCTTAAAAAGAAACAATGACTGAGCCATTTTTCATATGTTTCATTGATAAGCTTTGATTTTATTTAATCTATTGTATTTAATCTTATCAATTTAATAATGTATAGAGGATATTACATGGGCGCGCGGAGATACGGATTTTATCTTCGAGTGTTGAGAAGATCTCTCACGAGTGAGCGTAGCTGTTTATCATATAATTAAATATGAAAGCAAGTTATGTCTTAAAATACCTTTTTTCTTTCTTCCACTATATAGAGAAACCTCGAATGTGTTATTTTCACTAGTGAAAATAAAGCATTCAAGGTTTCTCTATATAGTGGAAGTAAGAAAAAAGCTATTTTACGGCATAATTTGCTTTCATATACAATTATATGATAAATAGAATATTACATGTTCGCTTGGAGATATAGAGGATATTACATGGGCGCGCGGAGATACGGATTTTATCTTCGAGTGTTGAAAAAGATCTCTCACGAGTGGATTTTCAACACGAGAAGATAAAATTCGTATCTCAAAGCGACCATGTAATATTCTTTTTATCATATAATTAAATATGAAAGCAAATTATGTCGGAAAATATCTTTTTTCTTACTTCCACTATATAGAAAAACCTCGAATGTGTTATTTTCACTAGTGAAAATAACATGTTATTTTCACTAGTGAAAATATCAATTTTACGTAATGGAGAAATATAGGTATTTCATAGATAATTATATGATAAACGTATTTTATCTTCTCGTGTTGAAAATCTTTCGCTACGCTCACTCGTGAGAGATCTTTTCAACACTCGAAGATAAAATCCGTATCTCCGCGCGCCCATGTAATATCCTCTATATAACATATCCATATATAGGAGTTAAATTATACAAACTATGATTATGCATGTACGTAACTTTCCATTGAAGGAGCAGAAAGGTAGAAAAAAAAATAAAAACATCTTTTTCTTTTTTTACACATTTCTGAATGCGTATCTGCATTAGCTCAGAGTAAAATTGAAATTCAAAAGGCTTCCCGATCGTCATTGTATCTTGTAAATAAATGTTTCAATCAATGTGAATGCAAGAATGGAAGTCTCCTGCTCTTTTAAAGCCCTTGTAGGTGGAACCTGTGGGTTCGACCGTAGAGATAGAAACCAAAGTACAGTAGTAATTCCACTTGAAGCTTGCCAAAAAGATATCATGTCTCGCAAGCGCATATTCGAGTTTGGCGGAATTGAYAATGAAGTTTTTGAGATTCTTTTATGTCGCGCTGATGTATTCAACCCTATTAAAGACATCCGAACCTGGACTATATGCCCCCTTCATCGATCTAAACTTGGACTTGGATGGAGCAGAGGGAGTAATAGAAGCTGTAGAGTCCCATCTTCTCTAYCATACCCTACACAATCCAGAGGTAAGCGTCCAAAAGCTAGCAGAGGTTTGACTAAAAAGTTATATCGCAACTAATTTTAAAGAAAACGGGTCTATTTATGCCTATCGGCTCGGGTGGTACCAGTTCAAGTCTAATTCCTAATGTCATTGTTGATACAAAATTCTGGAATATGCTCAACGTGCCGCAGTGCATTGACKCCAACTTGTCAAGAAAACACAGTAGTAGTAGTAGTACTGGCCACTGCAGARTAGTACTGTGATGCAWGGAGAAAGTCTTGTCATACATATAAATGGAATGAAGATTGTAAGAAATACTTTCTTGTTCTATCCATGAAACTTTCTAATATTCATTATTTATATCTAAGAAATATAAAATGGTGCGCGTCTCTGTCCTCTGATATAAAGACGGTGGGAGTTGAAAAACACGAGAGAACCAAGGCTAGAAATACGAGAGAAGCGAATGTTTCTCTTGCTTCTCGAGTGTATTCCATTGTCGTTATTATTAGGTATTCCGCTCTTGAGAAACACCTAGACTGTGGTAAACATACCTATGCATTAAAGCATTAAAGCATCGTCGGAGGACTGATCTGGAGGACTCTGGTATTGAAATTATTTGGTTAGAAGTTTATCCTTATAAGTCTAATAGACCTCTTCTCTTTGCTGGTTTATACCGTCGGCCTGCTTATTTAAAGGATGATGACGAGTTGTTAKAAAAAAACATCGAATCAGCGTATTTACTTAATCTAGAGACAATAATTTCTGGAGATATAAACGTGAACTATCTAGAGCCTCAAGTTTTCAAAAAGCACCGCTTAATTCGCGGTTTGACGAGTATGCATTTCAAGCAGCTTGTGACTCAAGTAACGCGCCCTATCAGTAACACCTGTCTTGATCACATATTTTCAAATCGTCCCCAGAGAATCCATTCGGTAGGTGTTAGAGTTTCTGGTCTAGCAGACCATCTACCGGTGTTTGCCGTTCGTTCCTACAAAGGAAAAGACTGTCCGCGCACTCATTAAAGCACAACACAATAATCTATCGCAACATGAAAAAATTCAATGAATCACAATTCTTAACTACACTTAAAGAGGTCCTCTGGGACACTRTGTTTGTTTTCGACGACTTGGATGATATGCTCGATACCTGGGAACAATTGTTTAACAAGGMATTGGATAGCCATTGTCCWTGGCGAGAAAAAAGAATGGCACGCGATAAGCAGGTTCCTTGGATGACTGCCGATGTTTTACAGCACCTTCATCGGAGAGACTCTCTTTTGAAAAAAGCGCGGATTTCGGGTTCTCTTGAAGATTGGGACA